CTCGATTTATTTCTCTTTATATCAATCTATATCTCTATCTGTTGATCTACCTCTCTGGGTATCCATTTCTCAATAAAAGAAAGTGTTTGTCATTAATCAATGTAGTTTTCCACCATTGTAATTAGCACTTTGTATCTAATTCCTTCTTATTGACTTAGCTGCACTAAATACAAACAGCCATTGTCTAGAACTCCCTCTAAAATTAACAATTTATCTCTAAAATTACACAAGGTTCCTGAAGTATTTCTGGGAGCTCCTGAAGTAGGTTTTACCTACCGTTTTAAATTCGTATAACATGTATGTATTCACAACCGACTCAATGTACTATCTTCTTATTTTTAACCCTTCTATCAAGTTATGATCACTTGTCTATGGCCTCTTGGTATGATGTAAACATACTCCGAATAAGCAGGTCAATATTGTAAAAGAAAATTTAACGTCTAAAAGAAAATTATTTGCTTGAAGAGATTTACATTTGCTGTCAAGTTCTATGTACCTACCTAAGGTGTTGACCTTGTCCATAAATATTTCATTATTTTTAATGTATTTATTAGTATTAGTTATTCATAGTATTTTCTGCCAATTTGAATATATTTCTTTTTTTATCAATAGAAAATAGATAGAAAAGACAGACATTTTTTCTGTCACTATAACTTGGAAATCTTCAAAAAATGCATAAATATGTAAATTTACACTTTTAAATTGGGTGAAAAAAAATATCAGATAAATTAATAATGATAAATTAAAATAAAAATGTGCAAAATATTAAATGGAAAAGTGTCTGTTACACTTTTTTAACCCCCCCCCCCATTATATGCCATCAGATCCTTTTGCTCATAGCCCTTTTAAAGTGTCTCTCTCACCCACAGCCCCCGAAAATAAGCATTTCATGAAAATTGCATCTTCATAAAACTCTCAAATTGAGTGTTTTGGAATTTCACTGAAAATCCAACTCAGTTAAAAGGTATTATAAGACAAAGTAGGGGCTATGATTGACAAAACTTGAGAAAAAGGCAGAGCTACAGCTGTCAAGATTTGTCAAGCCCTCAACTGTCAATTGTGATGGCTGAGTGGAAAAAGGCTTGGTTTATGGAGGCTCTCACTGTTTTGTGAAAGCCTCTGTAGACGTTATTGTTCCACTATCACGCATGCACAAGAGTACAGCACTGATGTTGGCTCCTGTCAGATGACGCATCAGGAGCTGAAGAGGGTCCAGTGACAGATGGTGGCAGCCACAAAGTAAAAACACACCTTTCACTGCACCTATGGGCTACAGCATTGCCAGCAGCAATGTCAACATTGGGGTCTTTGCAATATAGGCAAAGGCTCAAGAAGGTGACAGAGCTGCTTTAACACGTGAGACATCCAGGGAAGAATGCTCATATGCTACCTCACAGAGCCTTTGCATCATGGACAGATGAAGTTAGACATATTTATAAATTGGCACCTTTCAATGACAACATTTTTCAATATAACAATCAGAAAACCTTGTTGGATTCTACTAAAAATAAAGGAAAAGTATATATTTATTACATTTTTCTCTTTTGTCTCTGATAGTTATGACGGATATTTATAATTGGAGAGTGGCAACACATTTTTTTAGAGAATATTGTGTGAGGTCAGATTTATTTGAACCTTACCATTAGCAAACATCTCTGATAAGGGCATGTGGCCCTAACCATTTTAAAGGCTGTTTTAAAGACAGCTATGATGCATAAGAAGTCATTACACAAACATTTATAGAAAATTACTATAATCATTATTTTAAACTACATTTTTGCTATTTTCTATGCAATGACAGGATCAAAAGTGCTATGATCTTTCCTAATAAATAGAAAGAACAGAAGAAATTGCTTACATTACAATTATAGAAAATGAGAATTCAGAATAACATTTCTTTCTGTTTACTTTCAAAAGAAGACAGATTACATGTCCGCTAAGCTGAATTGCTAGCAGCAGTGCTTTCTATTTAGCCGTACAACATTCAGAAAGATATACTCTTGACAGTGGCTTAACAGCGTGCACTGTGTGTTTTCACAGAAGTCAACTATTGATAACAATTTAATTAACACACAGGAGGTTTGTTTCTTAATCCATTTTATTGGGTTTTTTAGAGAATTGAAACTCTGCGGAGACATGCTGTACAAAAATGTGAATTGTATAAACATCACAATATACAGGAAAACTTGTTTGTTTATCGTGCTTGAAAAATATCAAAAGGTCTCGTTTATCAAAAATAGCATATTAGTGAGTATAATTTTATTTCCCTATGAGAATCTGTTAGTGAGGATTAAAATAAGAACATGACTTCAGGCATTTTTGTATCAAAAAATTCACATGAAAGAAATACATTTTTGTGGTATGTGAAAATCATTTTGTAAGATGGTGGAAGGGTGGATGTACTTATGGTTTAGAAGAGGTCTAATAAACTTAAATTTATCTTTTTATGTACCTATTAAGTTTTTAATGCTATGTTAGAGTGCTCTCAATGTAAATCATATTAAAAGAACAATATATATTATAATTCTAGCGTGACTGAGTGCATTCATACAAACACAACATCATCAAAACAACGCAGACAAAAATACACAGCAAACAGAAACACTGCGGGATAGCAGTTTCCCAAATTCAGGTTGAGGGGGACTTAGGGTTAGATACTTCTTCTTCTAGGAAATATACATGATAATCATCATTAGGAAGTTTTAAATATTGGTCTAATAGGACTTCATAATGTTTTTTTAAAGTCAGATTAAGCTGTTTTCCCCCTCATATTCATAACATTGTGAATATCATACATAAAAGGAGATTGAAGCACTCATCTTGAGATGATCTCATATGACTTTTACTTCAATGTTATTTAAAAAGTTGTATTTCATAACACCCTAAGATGGTCATCCATTATTCTATTGGTCAGAATGGAGCCTATGCGAAGAGATTTGTTACTCTATGGAATAGGATTATTCATGCAGTATAAAAGTAAAAACATGTCTTCACAATTTTGGCTGTGAAGGGGTTAAGGAGTTGTTGCATGATTTCGCTCTTCAGTTCTCTAAAAATCTGTTGATTTAAATGACTGGGAATGTGCATCATACCAGTTATTAACACATTTCAATTACTTTCTTCAGATATTACTTTCATAACATTCATGCAAAAATAAACATTTGCCACAGATTACTAATTATGATTAATTCTAATGTTTCAACAGAATAGGATTTAGGTTTTTTTTAGATTCTGATTCAATATTGGCTTTTTTTTCAATTTTTTTTATTGTGCACATTTAAGCATATCACATACATTAACAAAATTAAAACATTTTTTAAAATTGCACTTTTCAAAATAATATATAGACAAAAAAAAGAATATCGCAACTGCACACTTTAAGGTAAGTAAATAATTATATTCAAGAGAGGTTTAGAGAATCACCAGCCAAGCTATAGACTTGTTTTAATCTGCTAACCCAACATGCTTTAATACAGCACCATGCTATTCTTCTGAATTTCTTTCAGTAGTTGCTTATAACCAGCTTTCAAGGCTGTACACTGTATAGCAACTGACAGCTCCTAGCAGGTAGGCATTTCCCAGTAAGAATTAATGACCATTTGTAGCAATTTTCCTGCTCACCTATAGCTGATTTCCAAACTATTCTAAGCTTGTTGAATGATTAAATGATTAAACTTCACAGGAATGATCGAGCCCTTTGTTTTAGTATAGTGTACACTCTGGTTACTTGTTTGTTTTGCAATCAACTTTCACTGTCCCCAAGACAATATATATTGTGTATATATATATATATATATAATTTATTTTTTTAAATGTATTTATATGCACTCCAATATTTAGATAAGGGCTAGGTCTAAGACACTTTCCCAGAGTACTGACACATGCATCTGAAGGTACCATGAGAGGTGTTTGTGTTTAGAAATATTAAGTACTTACATTATAAGATTTGATTAGGTCTTAAGAGAAAAATCATTCATTACATAACACAATATTAAAGTAAAATTTAATGGGTTACTCCACTGTAGTGGTTATTATGATAGGTGAGCCGTGGCACTCTTACAATTCAGTCTCAACTGGAGCTACATGATGTCTTTGCATGACAGCACAAGGATTTTTTATTACACAGGCAAAGATGCTGCTCCCACCCCAAAAAAATGCATCTTTACCTGTGTGTCTTTTAAACCTCCTTTTGTGTTTCTTATCCCTTCTTTTGAATGTATTTCCCATTTTAGTGTATCTTATCCCCCTTGTTTGTCTTACAACTCCCTTGTGTGTCTCTTACAACTATTCTCTTACTTCCTCCCATCCCCTTTGTGTGCTTCTTAATCTCCCAGACCATTGGTGTGTCTTTTACTCTTTGTGTATGTCTCTCTCTCTTTGTATGTCTATTTCTCCCCCATCTTTTTCTCCCAACCCCTTTGTTTGACTTTTCCCCTTCTCCAGCCCCTCTTTGTGTCTCTTTTTCTCCTTCCCCTCTGTGTGCTTAGTTTGCACTCTCAGTCATGCAAAGTGCACTGGATAAGGAAACTAAATAAGAATAATTAATTAAATGAGCATATACCTGATTTTTCTTATAAAATAATTAAGTTTCTCCTGCTGGAGAAAACCAGATGCAATGGATGAGGTCAGACGGGAACCTGGCAAGTTGTCAAATGCATTTCTATTGGGGCAGTTTTTCGCATCTTCATGCAGAACATATGGCATTGAACAGTATTATGGCATTGCTTTGCAAATATTGCAGTATCCTATGAGTGACAGCCATTAGAGGCGTTCTGAGGGAAATTGTAAATACTGTTTTTTTACAGAAGAGGCTGTGTTTACGACTGAGAAACTGCAGGGACAGACTATTTACATCAAAACCACTACATTAAGTTGTAGTGGTGTTGGTGCTTAAAGTGTTCCTTTAAATGATATATATATATATATATATATATAGGAACAGCTAAGATACTGCACAGAACCCTCAAACTCCCAGACCTCTGGTAGAGGACTCGAGAATGAGGAATAAACATACCACCCAGGAGGAATGAGAAAATCAAATATATGTATACATTTGATTTTCTCATTGATTTTCTCATCCCTCCTGGGTGGTATGTTTATTCCTCATTCTCGGGTCCTCTAATATATATATATATTTGATTTTCTCATTCCTCCTGAGTGGTATGTTTATTCCTAGAACTGCACTTTTCTGGACAGCAATCTCAGATGTCCCACCTAGAATCTGTTGAAGCCACTCACCCAACTTGGGAGTCACAGCCCCGAGCGCTCCTATCACAAATGGGACTTCTACTGCCTTCACTTTCCACATCCTTTCTAGTTCTTCTTTCAGTCCTTGCTATTTGTCCACCTTCTCATGTTCCTTCTTCCTGATGTTATAGTCACTGGGTATTGCCACATCGACCACAACTGCAGTCTTTCCTTCCTTGTCTACCACCACGATGTCTGGTTGGTTGGCCAGCACTTGCATGTTTGTCTGGATCTTTAAGTCCCACAGGATCGTAGCCCTGTCATTCTCAACTACCCCTGGTGATATCTCCCAAACATATTCTGTGCAGATGTTTTGGTACACAATCCCAGTAAATCCTAGCAAAGTGTCTCTCCGTGTATGCTGTTTCTGCTAACATCTTGCATCCAGCTACTAGGTGCTGGACTGTCTCAGAGGCCTCTTTGCACAGTCTGCACCTTGGGCCTTACCTGGTGTGGTAGAATCCAACTTCAATTGATCTGGTGCCGAGTTCCTGCTCCTGTGCTGCTAGGATTAGCGCCTCAGTGCTGTCTTTCAGTCCTGCCTTTTCCAACCACTGGTAGGATTTTTTCATGTGAGCCCCATCCACTATCTGCTGGTGGTACACCCCATGAAGAGGTTTTTCTTATCAAGGAACCTCCTCTTTTTCTGCATCCTCAATCTGTGGAAGTCTCAGGCATTCCCTTAGCAGTTCATCATTGGGAGCCGTCATCGTGGTGTACTTGTGTTTGTGTTTCATCCAGGACTGTGGCCTTGACACTCAGACAACTTGTCCTATTACTTCCTGGTTGTCTAACTCAGTGGGGCCACACTCCTTAGCCAATTGTTTGTGTGTGCAAGACTGCTAATGTCTGAAGAGACTTTGACAGGGTCTCTCTACATGCCCCCATGCCATTTAGGTGAGTACTGGGCTTTTCCAGGTGCCCAGTACTGATCACACTGTAATGGCAATGCATTTTTTTTGTATGACAGGGATGATCAGATTCAGGCAACATACCTCTCTTCTGTTTTAGCTTAGAATTCCCTTTGTTAGTTTCAGATATTAGCAGAGGGAAACCCCTGGGATTAGGGTTAATTTAAGGATCATGATTAAGTTTAGGATTAGTATTAGGTTCAAGATTAGTTTTGGGGTTAGTGTTTGGATTAGGATTAGGGCCAGCAAGGGAATTCCTCACCTGAAATCAGCACTTCTGCTTAGGCATATATTTTTTATTAGGATTTGGTTTAGAATTAGAGTATACATAGTCAGGAGATGTTGCTGAGTATAGTTAGAATAATTTTACATAATTGTTAAACACGACATTAAAAAAATAAACAGCAAAAATATGTGTATGCAGAAATTAAAAAAACAAAATACAAAAAATAGAAAAATTACATCCATAAACTTTATTTTTGATACTTTATTTTGCATTTAACTCTTTAAGAAATGTTTTCTCTATAAAGCAATGTTCTCTATTATAATAGCTTAGCTCTAACTCTCTTCTAACACTAAAATGGTCAAAAGAAATGCTGAGCAGGAGGCAGGTGAAAATGTTATAGATAAGGAAGAGAAAAACAGAGGATTTGCTTAGGATTTAGGAGATCAAACTATGTACAGTGTGCAGCGTTCAGTACGACATGCAAGAGACATGAAGACACAAAGTTGGTGATCAAAGTTAACAGGGCCGTGTAGGACAGGAAAAGCTTAGGAGATGCAAGAAAAAGAGTTATATATGGCCCAATTCTTTATGGAAAGTCTAGAGATTGAACAAGAAAGCCATGTAAAAGCTGCTGCAGATGAAAGGTAGATAACTACCATTGTCAACTTATGGATAGCTTGTAGAGATATGTGGAGCCGCTGGGAGACTAATTTGTAAAATGTTACAGTAATTCAGACCTGACAAGATAAGAGCATGCATAGATATTTTATTGTAGAGAGAGAGATAAATGGACAAGTTTTGGCAAATGCTACAAAAAGGAACAGGTTTTAGACAGATCAAGGTACAATGGATATGGGAGTCAGATATATTAAAATAGGCTTGATAAAGAATTCAGTTTTTATATAAAAGAAGTGGAAGGAATTTAGGCATATTCTATATAGTAATGAACATATATAGAACAATGTGTGAAAATGGTACCTCAAAGATCTATGCCAGAGAATCTTTACTCATATGTTAATATAACAAAGAATAGATAATAAAGAAAAGCACTATCACTGGCAGCAAAATGGTTATGAGAGCATGAGAAATCAAAGGGTCTTGGTTTACGTGATAGTCTTGTCTGTGTAGGGTGAGGCTAAAAGTATATATGTTCTATTTTATACAACTAAATTGATCCTACAGTGAGTCTTCCACATTATGGAAAATAACCCCAAAAATAATTTTACGTATTGGCAACTACATTCTTTAGGAACTAGCTTCCTCCAATCGCTTGCTCTGCTTACCTTGAGTGCTCATTTTGAGTTTACACTTGATTGTTTCATTTGTACCAGCATTGCTATCTGAGGGACTGTCATCTGCTCTAACTCTTTGGATATCCGTCTGTCATGATCATGAAATGACTGCTTTTATCAGTGGATTTTCTACTGATTCTTATCTGGAGATGTCTGACATTGACCTTTTATCTTCTTCTACTGTAATACTCTATAGATGTCAAAAAAGATCCCTTGCTCACTTATGTGTTGACATAAAAAACACAATTTCACATTAGTAATGCAGTGGGAACAGTACATGCAGTAGATAATGCCTACATGTACAATGCAAAAAAATGACTGTGATAAAAACTACTGTACACTTAAAACTATCATATTCTGTTCATTAGAAGAGCACTCTAAGAACAATATTCATCACAGGTCATTGTAGTGGTTATGATACTATGAGTCTGTGAGTACCATCCCTTGGTTTTCTACATAGTGTTTTGGAGTAGTTTGATGGTATCTCTGCCCAAAGCCCATAGCCTGCACGCCATGTAACCACACTGATAATCCAAAATCATATATTGACAGCTCTTGAAAAAGTCCCAAACAAGGACAAAACTTGTTGAGTGAACCAAAACAGACTAACGTACTACAAAGACTCTGGTGAACTGAAATTCAGGTGAATGAAATACAGCGAATGTGCCTTACTAGCCGATTGCTACTACTGCATAGATCTTGGGAACAGTATATGTTTGCCGGGTGGGCAATGTGCATGTAGCACAAATCTTTTTGTTTATATATCCTTGTGTGTTTATTTCGTTGCTTTAAAACTGTTTTTGTTACTTTAAACACTGCACTACGAAAATTCTTTCTTTTTATGCTTTTCTCGTTATATTATCCACTCTTTATATACTAATCCTGATAGTATATCTGGCAAATATGCCCTGCGTACTTAAAATGGTAGCATTGTATAAAGTATAACATTTCAGATGCCCAATTTTCAGATAATTTAATATCAAATTTAGAGGTACCACATTGTGTTGATTGCATGAAATCACATTTTTCCTTAAGAGGGTTAACGCAAATGCAAACTGGAATGATTATTTAATAGAACAGGCACAAATGATAGAATGTTATTGTTAGCACTTGATCCAAGTCCATCCTGGTTTGCCCCCATTGAACTCACCTTGTTTGTAAAAAAAAAACAGTGTTAATGCCTCATTTAACTCTAAGAAAATCTTTTCATGGTTTGAGAATCCTGATATTTTTTTCAACCTATGATTTGATGATGCTTGCTGCAGCCATCACACTTCATTAAACAACATCAATGTGTCATAAAAACAACAGATTTCATGAGCCCCTTGGCAGCTAGGGTTAATGAAAAATTTGGCCAGGCTTATAGCACCATGACAGCATGTTTCAATACTAAAAAGGAGGTTTGGGATTGAATACAAATGCTGCTTTCAAATGTTGGATGGTTAGAAGGCACTGTGGCGATAATGAACCCTACAGAGCTCTGGAAGCATTTATTCTGTAGGGAACAATCTTTTCAAAAGAGAGAACAATGTGTCCGGTGGCCTTTTATGATGCTAGAAAGGTTGGTAGAAAGCAATGGAAAGTTGCTATTTGTTCGAAATCAGTTTTCTATAAACTGTAACTGGTTATACCACAGAGCACAATTGTAATATTTTGTAGCTCTAAACCTAGTTAGTAATTGACAGACCAAGTTAATAAATCCTGTTGGCACATTTCATATATATATATATATATACACACACACATGCACACACACACGCACACTATTGCAATATTGCAGTTCCAATATTCATTATCATTTTAAGACCCAAATAATATAACCACATTTAGGACCAGAGACTGTCTAAGTTAGAGAACCTACTCTCTATCTACTCATGCTGCTTGATAGGGATTTATATAATCGCCGACAGTAAATACTCTAAATTCAGATATAATCAGATATGATTATTTAGGGTCTTTAAGAACCACATCCTAATATATTCCTTGTACTTTCCCTGTGTCACTGTGGGGCAATGGCTTATATAAATCCATTCATGTCATCAGTGTCCTGGCATGTCACCTGTCACGAACAGGTTAATACCAATCACACTAGGATCACATTAGCTACAAATCAAAAGGATTATGATTCATCCCATAAGGAACAATACAGTTCAAGGATAGTGTAAGACTTAGGCAAGTAACAATAATTAATATAATTAATAGAAGTTTTTGCTTTATTTATAGTAAATATTATTTATATAAGTTGTGTTTATCAGCACTTTACAATTTTACTATGAGAATAAAAAGAGCAAGGAAGTAACAAATGAATCAGTTGTTAAAGGGACACTGTAGGCACCCAGACCACATCAGCTCATTAAAGTTGTCTGGGTGTAGTGTCCCTTTTGCACCTAGTGCTGCAATGTTAAACATTGCAGTTCCATAGAAACTT